CTTCTATTTGCTGGCAAAGTTTGTTTACCAGGCTGATGAATGTCTAAACTGCTCAACTCTTCTATTATTTTTTATTTTATTTTATTTTTTTATTTTTGGAGGGGGGAGGACAAAGGCAAGGCGTCTGAGTAGTCCTCTCGTAGGAAGGCACTTAGATGAAACTGATGCTGAACAGGAAAAAAAAAATGCTTTGATTTGTTCTCACTATGCACTTTGGATTTAAAAACAAAACAAACAAACAAAAAACAAAAAAACAATAAGGAGAGCCTTTTCCATAACCAAATACAGACAATATTGACTAAATCTCCTGAGCATATTCAGGCAGTCAGGTCTGCACTGTGATAGCAACCTAGTGAAGGAGAATGCTTTATACTAAAAAGCATGTGGCCCTTTGTGACTCTGTTGTTCTGTTTTTAACGTCTAATAATTGATGAAAAAAAAAGTCTAAGTATTTATGAATCATGGTGGACCAGAGGGTTACAAGAGAAGTTCATGTGGGGCTGGCCTCACCTCCTAAGAAATTAGTGTTCACAGCTTCCTTGTAATGGTATGAGCCTTTGGCACCAGAATGATTTGCTGTTGCATTACTACACCAAGAAGCCAATAGATCAAAACTTGTTTGCTAAAATGTATGTAAAAATCCTGAAATTCCCTATTCTCTGTGTACAAAACAAAACAAAACAAAAATCAAACACTAATAAGAGACATGTTGTTGGGGGTGGGTGGGTGGGGGAAATATTCCTTATATTTATATAAATATATATAATATATATATTTTGCTGATGCAGTATACAGTGTGTATATATGTGTGTGTATGTGTGTGTGTGTGTGTGTATGTGTGTGTAAATTTATATACACACACATGCAAACAGTTCCTGGAAGAGAACTCTGAATGCTTTGCTAGCAAAACACTGTGGTGTGCAAACTAGAACTCAATAGAAAAAAAAAGCCATTTATCTGAAGGCTGCATAGTGGAGAGAGTCTTCAGTTTACCTCATTCTTTGTAGCAGCCCTTGATTTTAACAGGTTTTGTAATAGGTACAAATAATCCCATATCTTTTTAGGTCCAATTTTAAGTTAAGCTAAAATTCTTTTTAGGATTAATTTATTTGTATATGATAGTAGAAGGTAAGATCATGTAAAACCTTATAATTTGGGGAATCTGACACTATTTAAATTATTGGCAACTGTCGTCTGTTGTACAGGGGTTCTCTTTTTCTACCGGCTCAGTCTGTTACATCAGTAATGCATTTTCTATGTTCAAGCACACAACTTTACATAAATACAAAGTTCACTAGTAAGATCAATTTATAATACTTTGGCTGTCTACAACACTAACTGCACTCTGCTCTAAGAACTAAATGTATGTTCTTTTCATGTAAGCATTATTAATATATCTCCTTTACCAAAAAACCTGAGCAATACAATATTTTCTTTATATGCTATATGCCTTTGTTTGCTAAAAGCTAACATTTTTGCATTTACTTTAAAGGGCTGTACTAAACCCACAGCTTTACGTTTTTTCCTAGAAGCAGCATTGCAGCAAACCCCCGAATCCACAAATAGTTTTAAAATACGGTATTTTTCTTCTCCACATTTCCATGCTTTCATATCAGTGCTTAGTTCTTTTTCCAGATGAACACTATAGGTAATCTCCTGTTTGAAATGTGGGGCAGGAGTCTCTTTCTTGGCAATGGAGCTAAGTTTTTCTCCTTTCTAGTGAAATGGCAACCCAAATGTCCCTATTAGTAGAGTTAGAGTCCTGTGTAGTCCATGCTTCACACAAACAGAAACGAATGCACTGTTTTTTTGAAAGCTCAATTATAAATTATAAAAGGGTTACTTCATAAATGGGGCTGCCTCCTCAGATATTCAGAGTATAAAATGGAGGAGCCTGATGTGTTTCACACTGGCTTGTTTGACGTTCATATATCTTACTGTTAATTCAACAGTATTTTATTGTGAAAGAAAACCCCAGTGTTTCAGCTCACTCAGGAGTCAGGGTAAGAGGTGAACCACCACTGTGGTGCATTCCTTGAGTGTTCTGGGGGAAGGTCACACTTTTCCTTCCCAGGGTCAAAGAAACCTTTGGGAAATGACTGAAGGAGACTATTTTCCCCCAAGTATTATGATGTCTAGTTAATTCTGAGAATACCACTGGATTCTGTGTTCCTTGGACATTTGGGATTGCAGTTCCCATTGTGATTTGATTGGTTCTCAATCGAATGGATCACTTTGAAGGAAAGCTTTGGTTGTCACCATTATACCACTGAGATAAAGTGTTAGCAAAGTATGGTTCAGCTTAATTTATAATATGACCAAGAGCTTTTCTCTTCCAAAAGATGAATCTTATTGTAAATAGTTTCTCAAAATATTTTTAACTGGATCATGAGCATGGGGAGAGAAAGTTTCTCAGCTGCTAAGAATTTCCCCACTGTTTACTTCTGTCACTTACAGTGGTAATGCATATAAGATGACAAAATTTAAGGTTTTATTTGTATCTATTACCCAAACCATCAAGTTGTCTTTAATTTCATCATGTCTTGGAGGTCCAGTGCATAAAGGGCTGATAGAGGAACACTCCCTCTAACCAGTCAGCACACTACCCAGGATTGAGACCATCCCATAAAGTAGTATGTGAAGTCAAATCTTTGTACTCTTCCAGACCAAACAATGAAATGGATTCATTCATATAAAATTCTATAAATCCTGTAAGTGGAAAGATAGACAACTGTCAGCAGTTGCTTTTAAAAAGGTCACTATAATAAGTACTATATAGTACAGTATTAATTTATAGCAGGAAATCATATCTTGTAAACTGTATATAAAACACTGTTTTATGGTGCAATCATTTGTCAAACTTTTGTCTGTTACATTGTTTTTAGAGTGTGTGCATTCTTCTCATACCTAAGAACGTCACTGTAAAATCTGCTGAAAACTATAGGTTTTATTTGCACAAGACTTAAATTAGTTTGGAATTTTTGGAAGCTCCTATTGAACATGCCTAAACATCTGTAAACATGAAAAAATCTTCAATTCATTAAAAGCAAACATTTCAGTATGATTCTTTCCAAAGGTAATCCATGTTCTATGTTGTTAATGTGTGTAGTAATTTTTCTGACTCGTCTTCTTATCCTATTTTCTCTTCCATTTGTTTTGTTTTTGAAGGATGGCTCTTTTTTTTTTTTTTAAATGTTCTAAATGACCAAAACGCTTCATTGATTTTTACCCTTTTACCTAAAGCTTTGATATCCCTGCTTGATGTTCTGTGAATTCACTGCTTAATATCTTAAGTAAAATAATAGTCCTGGTGACATACAGTCTATTGATTTAGAGAAAAGGCCCTGAAAAAGTATTGGAAACTAACTTTAGATATACTTTTAGCTATTATTTTGCATCGTGGGCTTCATGGGAAGAACATGTTGCATTTATTTTGTCTTTATTAAAAGACTACTAGCCACAAGTTACTCCGATTGTAGTAACTGTTTTATCAACCCACTTTGATCTTCTTTTAAAAATTAAATTTACATTCACAGTTCAAAACAGTAAGCTGTCTTTCAGAACTAATTTTTGAAGGATAAAAATATATGAAGGAAAAACATGGCCTGTGTAGGTTGGATTCCCTACACAGGACTTATTAGTTGTATCACCTCAAGAGATTTTAGAGTTTGTGATCAAGGTCTGTATATTACCCCAAATTTTATTAAGAATTGTTTTCTAATTGGTTATAACATTTTTCACTTAATAGTTTCAAAACAAATTGTTAATACAAACTGTATAAAATGAACATAATTTTCTTCACTTGTATTTTTGTTATTGAGCAAGTTTATCAAAATAAATTGTCTACTAAAGAAACTAAAAAGGCTCCTATTGCTTTGAAATAAGCTTTGATTTTAAAAATTCGTCTCAGGGCGCCTGGGTGGCTCAGTGGGTTGGGCCTCTGCCTTCGGCTCAGGTGGTGATCTCAGGGTCCTGGGATCGAGCCCCACATCGGGCTCTCTGCTCAGCGGGGAGCCTGCTTCCTCCTCCTCTCTCTCTCTGCCTGCCTCTCTGCCTACTTGTGATCTCTCTGTCTGTCAAATAAATAAATAAAATCTTTAAAAAAATAAAAATATAAATTCATTTCAGAAGTTGATTTCTTACAGAGGTTTTACATATTCACACAGTGATACTGCTCTGCCCCTTGGTTTTGTTTTGTTAGCATTGGTTAGGGAGAAGATCTCCCTCTTCTTCCACTCCCGCTCCTGGCTCCCTCCTTGGGAAGAGATGCTGGTAATATTCCAGAACATGGATTAGGGCATGTTTACCAGTAAGAAGAGTCAATCAGCAATAAGAGCCCACATATATGTGGCTCTCTCTTCGACATCATGATTTTATGAACTGAGAGAGATCCACTGAGCCAAGGCCCTCAAAGCCAGCCGTCTTGCCTTTCTCCCTTGCACATAGACCTAGGACCATTCGTCTTTGCTTCAGTCTCCTGTTTCTACTTCACTGCAGTCCAAAGGATTTGGCTTCCAAAATTTTAAAATTTGGGTTGAAGGAGAGGACAGAGGGCTCAAGTCTTTAGACTCATACACGTGCTCCGTCACAGCTTTACTGTAGCATTCTTGAGCCGTCTCAGGATTAGCCCAGCCAAATAATAACTAATAAAGCACTACATTTACCCTTTGCTGCTGTTTATTCTTTATAACGGCCCTTACAGGAACCTCTCAGGGAGTTGGAAGATAAAGACAAAGTAGGATTTGGATGTTCTTGAGTTCTGGATCATAAAGGCATCTTAGGGTACCAGTCATCCCCATTTGCCTGAGACTGAGGGGTTTCCTGGGAAATGAGACTTTTGGTGTTCTAACTGGGAAAGTTCCAGGCAAAAGGGATGAGCTGATCACCCTATCTTCACACTATCCAAATCTACCCTGGTGTATAACACAAAAAAAAACAGACTGGCTTTAAAAACAATAACATGAGGGTGCCTGGCTGGCTCAATTGGTGGAGCATACAATTCTTGATCTCGAAATCATGAGTTCAAGCCCCACATTGGGGCCAAGAAAACCATAATAACATGAGTCCATAGACACCTCATTTGACTTAGTCTTCCACTAACTCTGTTCTAACTACTGTATGAGGAGATGATAGGAAAAACACCAAGACTAGAAGACTGGGTTCCTCTCATGCAAAGTCAACTCTTCTGGGTCACAGTTACCCAGCAACAAAATAAAAGTAGGTATTTAAAAATGGTATCAAAGATAGAAAGCATAATGCTGTATTATTTTTTTTTAGAGTTTTGGTTCTTTTCCCAGGAGGAGAAAACAATGGGATGGTATTTTCAAGCATATTCAAGTTTTCTACAATTCAGCAGACGGACTGAATCCGCAGACGGAGGACCCAAGATTAAATTTCAAGAGATTTTTCATGAGACTCAGAAAATTTTAGAGCTGGATGAAATACAAAAGAGCGCATCCAGTGTTTCCATTTTCCAAATGAAGAAATCAAGGCCTCAGAAGAGCAGACTGTCTTCCCCGAAGTCACACAACAGCAGAGCAGGCACCCCACACAGGAAGAAATGTCTGTGACAAAAAGTCCTTGGACAGTTGACCTAGGACAGCTAGCTGTTCGTGTTCTATAGTATCTGAACCAGTCTTCCTTCCACTAATCTCCATCTATCCCACCCCACTACTATCCCACATTTCTACCAAAATTACCTTAACCCAAAAGAAAGCATATTATTTCTTTGAGTTGCTGTCATTCCCACTCTACAGAATGAAGTGCAAACTTCTTCAGCCTTACTTCCTGATCTGGCTTCAGTCCGTCTCTTCCATCTTTTTACCCACCATTGTATCTCTTCACCTTACACAGCCAAACTAGCTAGTCTCCATTCTTTCACTACACCTGCTCTTTGCCTTGGCCATGACTACACTACCTCCTCCTCGCAGTTTTCCCTAATCCTGCTCATATTTGAAACATAGATAATTTTTTTGTGCTCTCTCTTTGGCTTATACCTCTAATAGAACTTATTTGAGGTGAGTAGACTGCCTGGATTCAAATCTCTGTTCCAAAATACTAGCTGTGTGACCCTTGATAAATCACTTAGCCTCTGTGAGCCTTGGTTTTTTTTTACCTGTAGAATGGGGTTAACAGTACCTATGTCATAGGGTTATTGTTGGTTTAAATGAGAAAGCATGGAAAATGCCTGGCTCGTAGTAAGCATTCAACATTAGTTGCTGCTGTTCTTACTAATAAACATCTCCCTACCACTAGATTATAAACTCTTGAATGTGAGGAATGTGGCTTTCTCATTTCCCTTAGAGACCTGGCACATTCCTTTACATGTGAATTGAATTATCATAATTAAATTTGGCCTAGGTTATAAAGGAAAACTGTGAAACTGTATTTGAGGGACCTAGCCATCTATCTGCCAGGACTGTTTCAGTGAAAATCTTTCTGAAAGCAGAGGCTTTCCTAAATCAGCCCTTGCAAGTCAATGTGGTTATTTTATTGGCAAGTATTTGACTGTATAATATGCCAGTGTCATTGACCTCCTTAGGATTCAAGACCTAGGACCTTTACTACTCAAGATCCTTTGTGGACTGAAGACCCTTTCCTACCGAGTTCATAGTGCTCCACTGTCGATACCAACCCAAAGAGGACCAGGATGATGCAAGCACCCTGTCGATCCTGAGAGAACTCTCTGGAGGCTTCTTCAAGCTTTCGGGTTCTCAGCTGTCTTGAAGCCATATTTGGTATGTTTTGCAAAGACTCGGTTCTGCCAACATGGTTTTAATTATTTCTGCTAAAAGGAATAGATTCAAGGATTTGATCTCATTTTAGATGCAGTTATCCCCAACCGGCCATGTTATGGCCCTTTAGTAAATTCTGCTGTTGTATTTGGTCACTATTACATCAATCCCTATTATCTGTCAGAGCCAGTCAGTAAAATAAATGCTGAGTCCTCACTCTGGCACTCTTTTCTTATTTAAATATTTAATTTGGTTATCTTAGACAATTGACATTATTTTCTTAAATAAATTTAAAAAACAACTCATTCTTTTATATTGCTTGTTCTCTGTGGCAAAATGCAAATGCAGTTGGAGAACCAATCAAAGACAATCCTTTCCATTATGCATAATAAATTGCTCTAGAGGAAAGATAATCCACGGATCTAAGAAAGCTTTTAAGTACCTCATATCTTACTGATGTCGTTAGTGAGTAGTGGACTCCTACTGTGGTGTCACCCCCACTTTACCTCATTTTTGCTGTTTTGGGGTCATCAGTAACTTTTTCTTGTCCCAAGTACTGTTGTGGAGAAGGAAGTTACCATAACCCTAAACTGGGGCAAAGGGATTTTTTTTGTTTTTTTACAGTAACATGTCTGTAAAGTTAAAAAATAATGAGTATAGGAAATTAAAAGTCTCCCCCCATCTACCTTTCAGAAATTACCACTATTAACAGTTTATTAGGTTTCTTACAGATATTTTGCTGTATTTACTGTATATATAGATGCATATACTCTCTGTCCTTTATGTATATAGATAGATAGATGCATGGTGTGTGTGTGTGTGTGTGTGTGTGTGTGTGTGTGTGTGTGTGTGTGTGTGATGATGGCTATGTCTTGTTCAGTTTTAACAAAAGCAAGATCATATTATACATGCCTCCCACCACTTTCTTTTTTACTTATGATGGGTATCTTTCTGTGTCACTAAATATAAATCTGCATTTTTAGTGGCTGTATAGTATGTGTGTGTGTATGTGTGTCCTCCTCCCTTGTTGATTTCATTTAGGTAGTCTCCAAGTTCTTTGCTATTACAAATAATGCTGCTTGAACTTAGGCCTTAGATAACAGGAACTTTCCACATACCATGATAACATGACATTCTAACTGAAGTATATCAACTACCCCATGAAAGTCAGTACATGTATTTTTAAATATTGTGATTAAGAAATAGTGGCACTCAGGGCGCCTGGGTGGCTCAGTGGGTTAAGCCTCTGCCTTCGGCTCAGGTCATGATCTCAGGGTCCTGGGATCGATCCCTGCGTAGGGCTCTCTGCTCAGCAGGGAGCCTGCTTCCTCCTCTCTCTCTCTGCCTGCCTCTCTGCCTACTTGTGATCTCTGTCTGTCAAATAAATAAATGAAATCTTAAAAAAAAAAAAAGAAAGAATGGCACTCAATATGAGTTTGGAGAAGGAAACTAATATTAAATTCAGGTTATGTGTTTTTCCATATGTCATCTTAACCCTCCTCCTAAGGTGAAGTGGAAGTGGTATTTTGTAGACCAGAAAACCATGCATCAAAAGGGGAATGATTTACCCAAGGCTCAGTAACTAATAATGTTGAATCTGGGTTTCAAACCTAGGTTCTCTGACTTCAGAATCGAGAACCACTTCTGTCCTGACTAGTGTGAAGGAAATAAAAATAGCTTGTCCCAGTTGCATGATTTCTTGGCTCAGACATGAGCAGCTGAATCTATGGTTTGCTTCTTCTGCATGTGGAATGCAAGCAGCCATAAAAGGTAGTCCTACTTAGAAGCAACCTATAAATACTATATAATTTGTTGGGGAGAAAAGTATGTAAGTTATTAAGCTGTTTGTGTTCAGTCTTCCATCATTCCCCTCTCACTGTCAAGCTTTCTGCAATCCTGCTAAGTGGTAACTTCACTGATTGGTGAACTAGATGATGTCACCCTTTGATTTTACTGGGACACTTTTGGGAATTGAGCACCCAGGGAAATGTCCCCAAACAGGCTAGATCTTGTCCCCTCTATAGCACTTAAAAAACCAATTAACTAGATCCCGTCTACCCTGTTAATAGGAAATCTTCTGGTTATTGGGTTACCCTAGGATTGTGCAGAGGACCATGGTTCAAATATTAGAAAGCCCCCTCCAGTCATTTGTCATCTGTCCACACTTACTACTGCTGAGAGTTCTAATATTCGAGGCCGAATGGTGCAGGAGTTCTGTGTCCATCCCACCTTCGGGGCATGGTGAAGTTTGGTGAGCTGGGAAGACTTTCTCCCTGGACTAAGGACACATTTCCTCTTAGGTCTTACCATCTCAAAGTGCTGCCACCAAACACTGAGCCAGCCCCTACCCCTTCTGATTTTCAGATACCTGATTTCTTGACCTCTGTCTCTTTCTTCTTCCCTTTTGGCTTTCCTCAGATTGCATATTTGCCTAGTACCCATGTCCCCTTCTTTGGTTCAAACCAAAACAATCCAGCTTTTTTCTTTTTATTTTTTTATTTTTTTTATTTTTATTCATTTGACAGAGAGAGAGAGAGATCACAGGTAGGCAGAGAGGCAGGCAGAGAGAGAGGGAAGCAGGCTCACCGCTGAGCAGAGAGCCCGATGCAGGGCTCGATCCCAGGACCCTGAGATCATGACCTGAGCCGAAGGCAGAGGCTTAACCCACTGAGCCACCCAGGTGCCCCCAATCCAGCTTTTTTCAAGGGGCTGATTGCATCCTCTGGTGTGCAAGACCGGACACAGAAGCCAAGTCTAGCCAATCAGAGCCACAGTGACTGTTTCAGAAATGAGTGGGTCACATGACCAAGCCAAGCCTGGGCCTTGCCTGGAGGTCCTTGGGAAAGAGGTGCTCTTCTTTTAGGGTTGCTAAGTTGGAGGGTGGGAGCTCTGAGTGCTGCTGGTGTCCAAGTTTGCCAAGCACTCATGAAGAGTCTGCTTAAGAATAAGGCCATCAGGGGCGCCTGGGTGGCTCAGTGGGTTAAGCCTCTGCCTTCGGCTCAGGTCATGATCCCAGGGTCCTGGGATCGAGCCCCGCATCGGGCTCCCTGCTCAGCGGGGAGCCTGCTTCCTCCTCTCTCTCTCTGCCTGCCTCTCTGCCTACTGTGATCTCTCCCTGTCTGTCAAATAAATAAATAAAATCTTAAAAAAAAAAAAAAGAATAAGGCCATCACAGAAGAAAGGAGCTGGAAAATGGAGACAGATTTCTATTAACATCGTATTAGCCTTTGGATCAAGCCATGTACGAAACCAGAAAATCCTTTGATTTTTCTGTTGTTTGAGCAGATAAATTCCCTCTTTTCCTTAAGCCAGTCTGAGTTGGGTTTGTCTCTTTAACCTGAAAGAATCTTGATACACTCACGCTTCTCTTGACATTAAACACATCCTTCACCTCCCGTGCTTTGGCACGTCACTTTAATCTCTCAGTTAGCATGGGATTTTATGAAAAAGAAAAATGTAGACTTCAGGCTACTTCTTAACCCAACAAAAAGCACCTGCTACTGGCTTGAAATGGGGAAAATAAAGAAAGCAAAATAGAAGTTAATATCTAAGAAAAAAAAAATGTTGCACAACAATACTGTCTTAGTCTGTTTGAGCTGCTATCACAAAATACCACAGTATAAGGTGGCTTCTGAAACACAAGCCTAATTAGGTGTTAACTAGACTTACTGTAGTATCATTTTTGCAATATATACATCTATTGAATTACAGTATACAGATGAAACTAATCTAATGTTATGTGTCATATCTCAGTTAAAAAAAAAAAAAGAAAAGAAACCAAAGGAGTTTTAAGTGCTGAAGACAAAAATCATCAAAGTCACCCCTATCTGCTTATTCCAGCACAGGAGGATTATAAACTAAATATGGCACAACACTACAGTATCTATCAACAAGTTAAAAGAGCTTTGGAATTCATTTTCTCCCCAGATTTGAAAAAAATCAACAAGGTACTTAGGAACTTACTGTGAACTGAAGAAAAAACTTTGTTTTTAGGGTCTATAGCTTTGAAACTTTGTTTTTAGGGCCCCTACTTTTGAAAATAAAGCCCCTAGATTCATACATTTTACTTTTTGTGTCTTTATCTTACAGAAATAAAAATCTCACAGTGCACAAAGATGTAAAACAGTGTTCATTGCAACATCGCTTTAAAAAAAATTTATTTCTCACAGTTCTGGAGGCTGGAAATCCAAGATCAGGGTGCCAGCGTGGTCCGGTAAGGATCCTCTTCTGAGTTGCAGACTTCTTGTATTCTCAGAGGGCAGAAGGAGCTAGGGGCTCTGTCCTCTTTTATGAGAGCACTAATCCCGTTCTTGAGGGCTCTCCCTCATGACCTAAGTGCCTCCTAGAGGCCCCACCTTCTAATGCCATCACTCTAGGGGCTAAGTTTCCAACATATGAATTTTCAGTGGGTGAGGGGTAGGGGGTGGGGACACACAAACATTCAGACCATTAGCAAATGGTCGTTTAAGGAGAAAGTTACAACAAATCTAAGTGTGTATTCCATAATTTGGAACTTCAAAGTGTGTGAAGCAAAAATAGAATTAATGGGAGAATTAGGAAATCAACACTCAGTATATCTTGGGCAATGGGACCAGGCTACAGCTCCTAAATAAAGACCAGAGGTGGATTCACCCTGATCAGTTTCCAAGAAACTAAGGTAAGAAACCCAATTCCTATTGTGCTCTAATTCCTTACATGGGGCTCAAATGAGCTACAAACCATCTGAGGAGAGCTCAGAAAGAAGGTACCCACACACAGCTTTCCTCTTGCCTGGTCATACAGGCTGAAAATCTTACTCCACTTTATCCCTCCGACATAACTACATCCAGAATACGTGTATCATGTAAGCTTAAGTAGAAAAAAGCAATCACAATGACTTTTCAATGTTGGGTTTTACTTCTTGTAAAATGTTGAGACCTATGTATCCAGGAGCCAAGGAAACTGTATAAGTATAAAACTACCCGTCTTGGGCTCTCCTGTCTTCCAAAATGGTGTCTCAAAGC